TTGAACCCTCAGCCTTCTGGTTAGCAGTCAAGTGCCTTAGGCACTATTCTATCAGAGCTCCTAGATAGCAGATGGGTTTAAGTGTGAAGACCCCCAGAGGGAGTGCTGCTTGTGCTCCAGAGTCTTGAAGGACTTTAAGGGAAACCATCTAGCCCCGTGGGGAGTGAGAGCCTCCCCGTCCAGGGGATGCCCCCAGGACACAGGCAGGTGGTGATCTTTGAACTGGAGTGATCTCCTGCAGCTGGAAGCTCATCTTACGTGGCACTCACCTGCTAACCTCAAGGTCGGCGGTTCGAACCCACCAGCCATTCCACGGGTGGTGCAGTTCCACTCTGTCCTCTAGGGGCGCTGTGAGTCGGAATCCACTCCAGGAAGTGGGTGTGGTTTGGGCTTTGAAGGGGTGCCTCGGAATTCAGGCCTGGTGATCTTCTTCTGAAAGGTCCCAGCCTTGGAAACCCTTTGGAGCACTTCTCTTCTGCGCACACAGGGTTTCCACAATTGACTGGACAGCCAGCAACCTTTCAAGTCCTGTCTGCACAGCTGTGTGACCTCCTACACCCACCCCATAAAGTACTCGGCACCCTGGGCACCTGGAGGTGAGGTGATGAGGTCAGGGCAATCCAGAGAGGAGGCGTGGCTCCACCCGTGACCCCACCTAGTCCGGCCCTGTGGCCCCGCCCTCATTCTTCGCTTTGATCTGCAACGTGGATGAAGGGTTTTTCGGGGCCTCTGACCACCGCCTGAAATCCAATCAGGGCAGGCTGGCTGTGGAACGTGATTGGAGCCAGGTTTAGATGGTTCAGATTAGATTATGTGAGCTATAAAAAGCATGGGGGCTGCTCTCAGGCCCCAGACACGCCTTTGGAGAGCCAGGGGAGGCTGTCCCAGCGTAGGACGGGTTCCCTAGCGTCTGGAGAAATTGCTCCATGACGCAGTAGCAAGGACACACCGGCTTCAACCTCCCCGTGGCCCGGACTGGCAAATTGTGAGCCACACTGAGTCGCTGGGACTCACGACTTCAGGAACCGGTGAGCTAAAACTTGTGTGGTCCTCCATCTTGTTTCTGTTAAACCGGGGACCAGAAAACATTTTCTGTAAGGGGCTGTTGTTGGGAGCTGTGGAGTCACTGCAGAGTCATGGCGACTCCATGCAGAAGGAACAGGGTCGGGCTGATTTTCCTAAATTCATTCCCAGGCTCTTGTTCCTACATTGTCTCAGTCTGGAAGCTCCCCGGAAACCCGCTCGGCACCAGAGCGGTGCTCAAGCCTCCCCTGGGGCAC